GGGACCAGAAGGAGGCAGACTGGTAGAGAAACGGTGGGAAACTGTTCTGAGCAAACGGCAACAGCAAAGGTCCTGAGGCAGAAGCGAGAGTGGGGTGTTGAGGACGGAACAAGGACAGGTAGCACCGCAGAAGCAAGGGAGACGCTAAAAACACGGAGGTAGGAGAGAGAGGTAAGGACTGAGCCACAGAGGTTCTTTGAAGTCATGAAAATAACTAAAAATAGGAATAAAAACAATATAAAATCGTTATTATTATTGCTGCTATAAATAAGATGCCATTTTCCAAAACACCAAGCTTTGCTAACTTAAGCAACACCACACCGCCCCCTCCCCTGCCTTCCCACCTTCTCCAGTTTGTCATCTTGCTGGAGTGGAAAGTGCCGATCCCGTTTTAGCTGAAGGCTATAAAAAGCACGCTGGAGCTGATGGTGCTGAAGACCACAGCCAGGCTAAGATTAGCCTGGGAGGCTGTCACCTTTTCTTAATGAGAGCAGCAGCTGGGATTCCCCTTCCTTGGAAAACTCCAGCTGTTCCACCCGCCCGCAGCGCCCCAGCCAGCCAAGGTGTCCATGGAGATGGGTACTGGGATGAGTTTTGGAAAAAAGAAGTTGAGCAACAGGGATTCCCCCTGCCGGAGGTGGCTGGGCTGGGGCTGGAGCTCCTGGGGTCAAAAAGGCAGCCCAGCGCCCTGCAAGTTCAAGGGGGCCCCTCTCTGTCTGGGCTCTGGGGCACCAGGCACCCCACACAAGCAGCCCTCCACTGCTGTGGGGACCCCAGTGTCCCAGATGCTCCCGGTCTCTGCCATCAACCCAGGGACAGCACTGTCGTGGGATCCCTCAGGCAGCCAGGACCCTCTCACCGCCTGTGGCATACGGCACAATTCCAGGGAGGGTCGCCAGCACCACGAAATAGTTCCAAGCCAGGGCTCAGGGAAGCCGAAGGGTCTTCGGACACACGAGCCTGGCTCTAAACCTTTTCAGGGCAGAACAGCTAAGAGTGCAGGGTGCAGACTCTGGAGCCAGCCTTCCTGGAGTTAAATATCACTGCCATTACTAGCTGTGTGACACTCACTAAGTTCCTTAACCTCTCCTTGCTTAAGAGTCCCATCAGCAAAACTGGGAGACAAATAGCTTATTTTGGAGTACCGTCAGAGGAGTGAGATTAGTTAACATACACAGAGCACATAGAACAAGGCTTGGCCCATAGTTTATTTTACTTTTTTTCGTTGTTTTTTAACCTTTTGGTTCCATGAGGTAAACTCTTACTGGTTTTTGCCCTTTCACAGCCAAAGAGTAACAATAATAATAAAATCTGACATACTGAGCATTACCAGTACGCTACGCGCTGTGCACAGACCTGAGCAGGACGACCCCGTGACACAGCCTCACCTGCCCAGAGCAGGAAGTCACCTGCATTTGGTAAAGGAGGGGATGCTGGCCCAGACAGGTGTGGTGACCTACCTGGTGTCACCCAGCTACTAAATGCGGATGGAGAGCTCAACCCGGGGCATCTGACCTCAGAGCCTGGGCCTGTCACCCTGTGCTTTATGGTCCCCAACATTTGCCTGGCCTGCAGCTGGGGAGCGTGTGTGACCCTCAGGAAGTCTCTGGCCAGAGCAGGATTACCCTGGAGGACCACAGTGCTGACACCTAATGTGTACTGAGCGTGTGGTGTGATCCATGGACACAGCACCTGTAGGCCCAGGACAGGGGCTGCTGTCCTCTTCCACAGAGAAGAGACTGGGGCCCACGGAGGCAGAACACAGGTACCATCTGCGGGTACCATCTGCGGGTGGGGCCTGACCTCCCCGTTTCCCGGATATAAACATGTGGTTTCTGCAAAACCAAGAGAATGGAACGGAGAGAGTAAACACATCATCCATCATCCATCCATCACCCATCCATCACCATCGATCCATCCATCATCCATCCATCTATCATCCATCTATCCATCACCCATCCATCATCCATCCATCCATCCCACATCCATCACCCATCCATCTATCTATCATCCATCTATCCATCATCCATCCATCACCCATCCATCACCATCGATCCATCCATCATCCATCCATCTATCATCCATCTATCCATCACCCATCCATCATCCATCTACCCATCATCACACATCCATCACCCATCCATCCATCATCCATCATCCATCTATCCATCATCTATCCATCAGCCATCCATCATCTATCCATCACCCATCTATCACCCATCCATCATCCATAGATCCATCCATCATCCATCCATTCATCCATCCATTCATCCATCAACCCTCCATTACACATCCATCAATCCATCCATCACCCCTCTACCCGTCTCGCATCCATCCATCCATCTATCCATCCACCCAGCACCCATCCTTCTATCAGCTATCCACCCATCATCCATCCATCCATCCACCCACTTATTCATTCAACAAATACTCTTATCAACTCCCTGCTATGGCTTCAAAGTCACTGAGCTCCCAGGACACTACAACTCAGATGACACTGAGTTCCACGAGGAACTTGGCAGGGCCCATTTCAAGTTATTCCCTACATGGTCCACAGCACAGAGGTTCTGTCAACCTAAACATGAGTGACAGAATGCTCATGTCTGCTTGGCATGTTCCCCTCTGTCTATAAGGTGCTTTAAAGCCACATTCTTCTTGTCAGTCAGCAGAAAGCCAGTGGGATGGGTTCCTAGTAAAACAAATGCCTCTCCTAGCTGCAGAGGTTGATCTACTCGGTCATTTACATTTCATGTCCCTCTCCTGCTCAAGAACCCACTAGGACTCCCTATTACCTGACCTAGCCTCAGACCAAACCCAGACATGTCTCTACCTGGCACTGGAAGACTTCTTGTTCTGGTCTCTGCCTAACTCACCTAGATATTTCCCAGCATTCACCAGCCTCATAGAAAAGGGAATGGTTACAGAAAGCACCATAAGCCATATCAGGCAAAGCGTCTGTTTAAAATCAAGTTCTCAGAAATATAAAACACCTAAAAAACGTCCATGATTTAAAAAAAAAAAATTAAAACTACATATATGAAAATCTCTCCACATAAACAGAAACCACCCAGCAGACAGAGCGCCATGGTTGTGGGGTCACCACTGGAGGCGAAGCAGGATGGGAGTGTCCTGATCAAGGGGGAGGTTTCAAGGTGCCCCAAAGTAGAGCTTTCCCTCTGCTCTCCCCACCCCTCTTCTTGCGCACCAGCGGGGACTCGGCCCCTCCCACCCCGGGCACCCTTGGTGACGAGAAGACCCTTCTGGTCATCGTGATTTGGCACCTTGTGGGGAGAAGACAGGGAGCTGCTGATCCACCTCACTGCACGGGTCGCCCCACGACAGATGTCCACCCATAGTGTCAGCAGTTACACAGGACCACAGGCTCTTGCCCAAGTGGCTCAGCTGTCTCCAGTTCCTCCTCCAACCCGCTCCTGCTCACACTGCACTCCTGTCAGTGACCTCAGGCTTCTTGGTGTGCGTGACATTTGCTCTGCTGACCTCCCTGATGTCCCACACTTGGCCTCCAGGACCCGGCTTCCAGGTCCTCCTCTTGCCAGGACAATTCTTCGGGTGCTGATGGGTGACGAGGCGCCCAGCATCCCGTTGGCCACGCTTCCTCCCCACGCTGGAGGCTACTCTGGGAGGCCAGAGGCTGTCCCTGAATTTAACTCAGTGTGGACAGCTCCCAAGGAGACGTTGAGGCCAGGACCTGCCTCCTTCATCTGGACCCTGTGGCCAGGCCCTGATGGACTTCCTGTCTTCCAGTGGTAACACCAAGGCTCATCCGGGAAGGTCCCTAAGCATGGCAGACACAACGCTCCCACTTCCAGAGAGAATGCACATGCCGCCCAGCCTTGTCTCCAGCCAACCACTGCTCAGCACACATCTCAGCCAGCACGGCGCACACGCAGACAGCACAGCCTCCTTCCTCGGCACCCCCAGAAAGATAACAGCCACTTACTGAGCACTTCCGGTACATGGCTAACACACAAGGACATTAGACCGTGCACAGCAGAGAAATACAGAGTATAAATGAATACCAATTCCACAAAGATATTTTTTAATTAAAAAAAAAGACAAGACCTATTTGGAATAGGACAGAACTGCTCCTGATACGGTGGAAGGTTTAGTGTGCACGTTTCTGGAAGATAATTTAGCAATATGTACTTAAAGCCCTCAAAATGATCATCCAAAATTCCACTGCTAGGAGTCAATCCCAAATAAACACAAAAAGGTACACCCCCAGATCTGAGCATAAGTAGGTCAGCACGTTCCCACTAGCTTGAACCACCGGTGGTACAGGCATGACTGTCCTATCAGGTGGCTTGAACCACTGATGCTACGATTGGATCTAATCACTTTTATCCACCTTTATACTGATAACATTAATAAAAAGCTGCTTGACGGGACAGACATGCATATGCTACTGGTAGTACCAGCTGCCTGACAGCAAGACATACAAATTATGGCCAGTGGTGAACATGTTACTTAGTCTTAGCAGTATAAGAAAATTAATTATAATACTACTTATAATAAAGTATAAGTAGACAGTGTACACTGGTTTATAATACACCTGAGTGCTGTCACAGTTGCTCCACATATATGACTCATTGATCTTCGTGACAACTGTCAGCTAAGAACTCTTGCTATTGTTCTACTCATGAGGAAACTGAGGTACAGAAAGGCAATCTGCTTAAGATCACAGGACACACAAGAAGCACAGCTGGCATTTGAGCCGGTGAACACACAGGCTCAATCACCTTGTTACTCTGCTTCTCACCTTTGTAATAGAAAAAAAGCTTTTAAAAGTTTGTTTCTTGATGCAGTAAAACACCACAGCACACCCACGCGTTGGCGAGCCGCGTCCTCACAACCCCTGGAGAAAGTGAGCAAAAACGGCGGGGTGGGACACTCTGCACAATGGCTCTACTGCTGCACAGGAAGAGAGAGAGCCACTCTTGCACGGCTGCGAAGGACAAAGAGCTCGGAAAGCTACTGACCTGTGGTCTTCTCGGTGAACACGACTTTGGACTCGGCCGTGAAGTTCTGGCCCGTGAGGATCATCTGCTGGCCCCCATAGACCAGGCAGCTGTCAATGTCCTGCCTTTCCACCATGGGCAGCTCGTGGGCAGACCGCTGGGCTGTGGGCGAGAGGACAAGAGGTCACTGTGACAGGGAGACATCTGCTCACCGGGGGCAGGCTGATTCCACGGTAGCAATGAGATACAACATGCGTTGTCACCTGCTGTCACCACAGACGGGGAAGCACCACCCCTGACAACTGCAGACTCTAAATATTATGTTTTTGTAAAAGTGCTGCAGTGGCTTGAGCCGCCTTCCTTCTAACTGCATGCTTTGTTTTCATGAATCCAGGGACACACGCCCATGCTTAGGGGGAAGGGAATGAGAATTTGACCTCTTCTTTTATGAGGGATGAGCAAATCGACCTTCCCGTCGGGGCGCTCTTTTGTAAAGTTCCTCTCTCCTGCTCCATCTTTAGGCCAAACGCAAGACCATCCTGTACACTGACCTTGGGATTCCAGTCCTGAGAGACGTGGCTGCAATCCCCTTGGGACGCATGTGTGATTCTTAACATGGTCTGTGGGACAGCTAGGGTCCACCCCACGGGCAGCTCTAGAACCTCCCCTGCTCACGCTGCTCCTGCAACACTTCCAAAACTTTCTCAGGGTCTCTCATGCACGCAGAACATGGCCCGTGCCGAGCAGCTGCACTTCCTCAGAGAAACGTTCACCTCAGATATACTGCGGGGAGCTTCTCTTGCCTCATAGTGTATCTCTCCTCTCACTAGAACATGGATGGATGGGCGGACAGATGGACGACGGTGCAGATGCACTGGGATGACTCACAACACATCTATTTGCTTACATCCATAATGAATGAAAGGAGGAGGAACAGGACAGACCTACACTAATTACTGAACCAAAATAATATGCATGAACGCTCACAGTAACCCTGTGAGGAAGGAAATATTAACACTATTCACATTTGACCAGGAAGAAACCTAAACCTAAGCAAAGTCAAGTAGCCCATCACTTGGCCAAGCGGCGTAAGGTGAGGCTCAGACCTGAGCCCTTATGAGCAGGCTTGTCTGGCCCCAGAGTCCAGTCTCAGAGCCCCCTCCCACTAGCCACTGGTCGCCAGGGAAGGCAAGTGACAAACAGGTCCCAGCCACAGCCCAGGTCCCACCTCCAGCCTCCGCCTCCGCAGGCCCTGCCTCCCGGCGTGGGCCCAGAGACTGGCCCTCCCCCTGTGAGTCAGCCCCGGCTCTTGGCTCCCCTCCTGGAGCTCGGAGAACCCGGCACACGGCCAGCCCTTTCCGTGCCAGGGGCCTGCGGACCTCCCTATCCGGGAGCTGAGGCAGCAGCCGCTTGAGACCCAAGGCCCAAGCTCAACCCTTCCCTCCGAGTAGCAAGCATCCCCTTCCCTCTGCCTGGGGCTGCCAGGCCAGGGACGGAGATGGAGCAGGCTGATGGGTCAGGGATGCAGTCGGCAGTATTTCTGGAGTCTGTCCTGCACCCGCCAGTGGCGTCCTGACACTTGGCGTTGGACGCATAACCCAGCCACTCCAGCTTTCTTTCCCAGAGCCCGGCCTGCCAGCACTCTTCCGAGGGGCTGCCGGCTGGAGGACGTCTTAAAAGGCCTCTCAGCAGAAGCTGCTAATTTCTCCCACATGGGCTCAGTTATTAATCCTTTCTTTCAATATTGGACTTTTGTGATGACTGCCTAATTGAGCTGCCACAAATGGAGATTTACTAGCAGTGAAAACAGCAGCCCCGGGGCCTGGCTTTTAAGATTTGCCTTTGATGGAGTTGGGGGCTGCGGGGGCTTCTGGCGCTGGGGATGGGCAGGGAGGTGGCAAGAGCCACCCCTCCCATTTTACAGGTGGAAAACCTGAGTCATTGCTACTGGGTGAGCCAGCCAAGGGCCCGCAGCCAGCCCTGCCGGACTGGACGGCTGAGAGCTTGGCGCTGGGTGGGAGCCTGGCCCGGAGGGCGGCTGGTGAATCACTGTGCATTGTGTGAACACAACTCGTCTATTTCCTGAAGCAATCTCTTCGCTTCTCCTTGCAAAGCCCCACGGTCTTAAGCAACCCACTGATGACTGTAGCCAGTGCCGCACTGCCGGCCTCCTTATCTGCAGGGAAACATTTTTTTAAGTGAAAATTTACAGAGAGAATGGGAGTCCGGGACAGCTTCCAACCAGCTTATCTCGTCCTGAAGCTCAAAGCACCGCCGGGGCAGCCGGACTGAGTGGGAAATGCGGAGCCTCAGGCCTTTCCAGACCTCCGGCTCCCAGGTCTGAGGTCCAACAGGGAACCGAGCAGCAGCCCTGCTCAGCTCCAGCTGCAGACAGGACCAGCCTGAGAGGTAGAAGGCTGTGGTACCAAGGCCTTGCTTCCACAGCAACCTGGGCACCAACTCCAATGGCCATTCTTTATTGTCAGGGCCTCTGGCATCTAGTGACAACCCTCAGCTGTGACAACCAAAAATATCTGCAAAAATGGCTGGATGTCCCCTAGTAAGGAAAGACACAAAATGGTCCCTACTTGACAGCAACTGTTCCAGAGATTCTGACTTAAACAGTCTGAGGATAGGACCGCAGCGTGACTCCAGGGACCACGGCCAGTTTGGTACCACTTGTGGTAGCACTGCTGCCAGACCATGCACTGCAGGATGCTGGGAGCAGCAGCAGGGTGCACACACAGTCATAAAAGCCAGGGTTATGAGTCCTGCATCTGTCACCCCCTGGTGTGTGACCCTGGACAAATCACTCTCTGAGTCCCAGCGGCTCCTCTGTCAAATTGTAACAGTCTCTGGTCTTACAGATCTGCATCATACAGTACCAGAGATCACACACATAAAAACATGGACAGGAGCAGAACTCAGTTGGTAAAATAGCTAATGTCAACTCAGAAGTCCAGGGACAGATGTGTGGACAAAGGTGGTACACTCATACAGAATATTTCCAACCACAAAAAGCAACGAAGTGCTAGTACTTTGAAAACATCCTGATAAATGGAAGGAGTATAGCACCTGGCTGGCAAGGACAAGATCCTGAGTTCGATTCCCAGTACCAAAAAACTTTTGAGCCGGGTGTGGTGGCACATGCCTGTAATCCCAGCACTCAGGAGGCTGAGGCAAGAGGATTGTTGCGAGTTCGAGACCAGCCTGGGCTACAAAGTGAGCTCAAGGCCAGCCTGAACTGCATAGCAAGACCCTGTCTCAAAAAGACAAAAAAATAAATAAATAAAATGGAAGGAATCAGTCACATAAACACTGTACCATCCCATTTATATGGCGTGTCCAACAGGCAGATGCATAAAGCAGATGGATAGTTCCAGGGACTGGGGAGAGAGGGGAATCAGGAGGGACTGATAATGTGTGTAAGATTTCTTTTCACGGTGATGGAAAAGTCTCAGAACTAGCGAGAGTTGTGCTTGTTTAGGCAGCATATATAGAGAACTAGCTAGAGTTGGTAGCTGTAAATACTATGAATGCGATTAATGCCCCTAACACTTTTAAGACAGTAAACTGTGGTTAAGTGGTACGTTCAGTGTTGTGTGTATTCGGACACAACGAAAGTATCTGACATAAGACAAAACCACAGCCTACGCCTAGAGCTCACAAAGCACTCAAGAAACTGCAGTCTGGGGCTGGGGATTTAGCTCAGTGGCAAAGTGCCTGCCTGGCAAGCACAAGGTCGTGAGTTCGATTCCTGGTACCGGAAGAAAAACAAAAAAAACAAACGAAGAAACTGCAGTCTGCACCATCATGAACCATCTGACACCGGAAGTCCCGTCAGCAGGTTAGTGACACCCAGAGCTGCAGCATCCGGAGTGTTAGCTACGTCATCAAGCCTGGGCGGCCATGTCCACATGCTCATACAGACTACTTCTGGGGCCACTGTGGTTCTTGATGGATCCTGAGCTTTCACCGAGGTTTCTTGGTCTTACAACTCCCGACTGCCAGACTTTCCAAGGTGTAGCTCTCCAGAACTGCAGCAGTCTCCTACTTGGGGCAAGTGCTTTAACGCAGCCCAAGCCACATACAGTACACTGATGCCACCCCACCCCCAATTACACACCCACCGTTTCCTGAGTTGCTTAGGCAGGGGCCAGAGATTTGCATTTTGACAATCTCTCCAGGTGACCTGTTACACTCACTTATTTAAGAGCTGAGTTCCGCTGGTCAGAGGCCACCTGAGGATGGGGGAACTCCTCCCGGGGAGGCCCCAGTCCTCAGAGAACCCAGGGCCCAGGGATCCAATTAGCCTCTGAAAGAGGAACTGGGGAGAGGCAAACAGCAACCAAGACCTCCAGGGCCCTGTCTCTGTCTGATGCAACTTCCACCACCTATGGCTGCTGCGGGGCGGAGCCCAGGGCCTAAGCGAGGGCTCTCAGGAGGCCACTGGGCTCCGGGCCTCTGCAGCGCTCCACTCCGTCAGCCCCAGCAACTCCACTCAGCTTCCTGTTCACTTGGAGTGTCCAGGCCAGCCACACTCCCAGCCCACAATTTTCTAACCAAAGCTGGCCTAGGCTTAAGCAATCCTTGGGAGCCTGGCCTGGGTGAGACGACCCCTACCCCTGCAGAAGCTTCAGGGTGGCTGTAGCAAAGCGGCTTCCCCAGCTTCACTGCTGCTCCGGCCCCTGGCACGTTGTAAAGTGGCTCCAGGCTTTCGTGTTTCGTGCGCTCTGAACTCCTAGGTGCTGTGGGTTAAACCTGCCTGTGTTTCCTCTCGGCGCTGTGCACGGAGCAGATAGTGCGGCTCAGCTCCACCAGGGAGATGCACTGGCCGGGCCTGCAGCTGCACCTGTGCACGCCTGGAAATGGGATGCTGTCTGCAGTTCACCCTGTCACACAGCTGGGGGAAAGGCTGGCTGGGAAAAGTCCTCTCTGCAGAGGGGCCGGTTCTGTCAACACCACAGAAACTACCTCAGATCCCCGGCACATGATCACTGTTTTGTTTCTATTATAAAACGCACACCTCATGAGGCGATGTAAGGTGGTAGGCAAATGTAAGAGTACTGCAGTGTGACTGCCCAAGTTCAAAGTCCAGCTCAGTGCCATCCTAGCGCTGGGAATTTGGAAAAGTGACGTCATCTCTCCGCGCCTGTGCTGTC